GTTAAGATTACACTCCTCCCTGGGCGCAGAATCAACATTAGAATCTAGACTTTCCCATGTCTTTTACAGAACCTAAAATACTTTCTGATGACCAGTTCCATATTTATCTTTTTTTAAAATACATTTTTTAAATGCTTATTTATATTTGAGAGAGAGTGTGAGCAGGGGAGGGGCAGAGAGAGAGGGAGACACAGAATCTGAAGCAGGCTCCCGCTTCTGCCATCAGCAAAGTCCCATGAGGAGCTCAAACTCAGGAGCCCAGGAACCCGCAAGGTCATGGCCTGAGGTGAAGCTGGATGCTTAACAAATGGAGCCACCCTGGTGCACCTAGATTTATCTTTTTTTCTACCTTATCATTACTATGCTGATCAGATTTGCCTACATATAACATTTATATAGTCTGAAATGCAAATATTTACATACCTGGCCTCTTAAAAATGCTTTGTGATTATTATCACTGGATTGGTTTTATTCTACTACTAAACTGGAAGTTTCTTAGGGGCAAGAACTGTGTCTTATTCCTATCTGTCTTGACTGAAGTGAGGTACCATACACTTAGCAGACATTCATGTATTTCTTCATTTCAAAGTCATGGTGGTAGGAAAAGGGACACACACACACACACACAGCAAGCTGCCTGATTACTACTTTTAGGTTAACCAAGGGTTTGAAAAGGCCTGTAAACCTGGAACACAGATTATCAATCGTCATGACAGCCATCCAAGCTACTAATGCTCCCACTTCTACCAGGCTTGAATATACTAAAGGGAATCAAGTAAGTCAAAATACATGAAAATTAGTAAGCAAGTATAGTTACAGCAAATTACAGTTATAAAAGGAAATGGAAAGCAGCTGCAATACTCACTGTCATATGTTCTACTTCCTCAGGAAAAAACAAAGAAGGAATAGATAAATCAGAGACTGCTGGTAAAACTTTTGATATTCTCAATCTTAAATTTGATTCAAGTTTTCTGGTTATTGCTGGGAATAAAAGTTATATGTACAACTTTGTTTCTAAGACTTTTATCATTCAATTAGCTGCTGTCTATGTTTAAGAGCATACTTAAGTGCCTAGAACTAAAATGTTTCATGTCCTTGATGGGTTTGCTCAGAAAAGCAGCACAGCTGAACCTTCAAGAACTATATCAGGCCAGCAATCTGGAAAAGCGCACATGACTGTTTTTATCTATCCTGCCATTTTCAATAAGTAGCAGACTGCTTGTTGCCTAAAGGTTGGGAGCTCTAATATTCGTTTATAGACTTCTCCCCAATATTTTTACCTAGTAAAGAATGTGAATTTAAAGTATCTCTTAAAGGGGCACTTGGCTGGCTCAGTTGGTAGAGCATGTGACTTGATCTCAGGGTTAGGAGTTTGAGCCCCACTTTGGGTATAGAGATCACTTAAAAATAAAATCTTTAAATAGAGTTTTTTTTTAAAGACTCTCTCTTATAAAGTTACAAAAGTTACAGACATATATATGAAAAAGACTTGTATGGAAAAAGTACTGATTCGAAAGGCATTTTCCCTCTTTTAAAAAATATATCCTTACTAGTTTTTTTAATCCACTTTATTCCAGGTTTGGGAGATGTTTGTTATAATTTTCTTTATTAACATGTCTGCTTGTCTTTTTATATCTTGTAGTTTTGCTTTATGGAAGTTGCTGCTCTACTACAAGCCCTCAGCTGACACAGTTCCTAGAGGCAACATCGTCAGTTAACATGTTTTAATTAAACTAACACTCGTCCCTCAACAGCACAGTGCAAATTTCACTTATGAAGGTGTATATTAACTGTGAGTAAATGCATGAAGCACAAATTTTTTGCAGCTAGCTCTTCAGTCCACAAATCACTACATAACAGACATATGCCATGATCAGTGACCAATATCAGTGACTCAGATCAGTCTGTTGGTGAGGGGACATTGCACACCTGTTTTCCAGTTGAAGAGACAGAGAGAAAAGCATGTGCTTGTGCTGTCTTGTCGCCCAGTGATAAACTTACATGACATTTTACAAAAATAGATGGTCAAAAGAGGGAACTGGCCAACGAAGATAAAAGTGCAGCACAGAAACTAACATGATAATGTTGGAAGTGAAATTTGGGTCATATGTAAACGGAGTTATAGAAGAAATGGTAAACTGAGGAATGTGGACACCACTGCTGTTTGAGAGACTCCAGATGTACAGTCAGAGGGATTTAATGAGGGCAAACATCAATATAAATAAGTGGTTATCACAAATATCCTCTAAGAAATGACATGGCAAAAAGCTTCACGTTATAGGAACTCTTAGAAGTATTTTTACAACACTGAAAACACAAAGGGTAAAATATCAGAAGCTGATCCAAACTTAGAAATATGACAGCTTGCCAAAACAGAAAAAATGCTCACTCCATATCATAAGTTATACAAAGAGAAGGCAAGCACTCAACTTTTTCTCGTGATAAGTTTTTTTTTTTTTTTAAATAAATAAAACACTAAGTCTCAATGTACCAACGGTTTGTTTCAGCCAAAATTTTAAGGGCCATGAAACAACTATAATCTTTCCCACTGTTTATTACGCTTGCTTTGTATGGTTTCGGCTTGCATGGTCGTATTTACAGTAACTTAATACCATACAAAATGAGTTCTGCCCAGATTTAGTTCCGATTTCCTCACATCCTTACCAGCACATTTGTGTCTTTTTGAAAACAGCCATTCTAGTGGGTGTGAAGTGGTATCTTGTTGTGATTTTGATTTGCATTTCCCTAATAACTAATGATGTTGAGCACCTCCTTATGTACTTCTTGACAATTTGCACATCTTTGGAGAAATATCTATTCAAATCTTTTGCTCATTTTAAATTGGGTTCATTGCGTTTTTTTTTTTTTAAATGAATCTAATTTCTAGTTCATCTGATTTTTTTTAAAAATAGGTGAGTTAAGCCCAAACCAAAAAGCTGACTATATAGTCAACAGCAACTGGCTGGACTATGTGGAAATTTTAGTGTTTTGGGGTAGAATAGGGAAAAAGGAACCAAAGCATTGCTTAACTTTTTTTTTTTTTAAGTTTATTTATTTTTCAGAGAAAGAGAGAGAGACAAGAGTGTGAGCAGGGAAGGGGCAGAGAGAGGGGGAGACACAATCTTAAGCAGGCTCCCGGCTCTGAGCTGTGAGCACAGAGTCCTATGTGGGGCTCAAAACCAGAAATTGTGAGATCATGACATGAGCTGAAGTCGGACACTTCACTGACTGGGCCACCCAGGCGCCCCTCAAAGCATTGCTTCTCTGAAAATAACTGAGTAACTGAAAGAATCCAAAGTTGAACTCAGTGGATGTGGGCCATCTAAAGTGAACGCAAGGGCGGAACAGGGTCAGTGAGGGTGAAGAAAGGATTTAAGAGTTGTTAATACAAATCCAGTCACAGTGTAAATCAAAAGATCCTATACAAGACCAAGACAGCCTGGAGGCATTTTATGGTCATTCTTGTACTGAACTCTTCACCAAGGGTAGAGCAGGCACAGCGGCTTAATAATTTTTGTAACCTCTTAGTAGTAAGATGAGGGGTGTGAGTTGGTGCATTCATCATTCTTCTGTTCATTCTTAAATGTGTTAAACACGTGCTCAAAGAAAGGCTCTTCAAGGATCAGGACTGGCAGCTCACTTTCAAAGGTCAAGCTGTCTACTGACACAACCTGAGGGAAAAAGCTAAACTGATTATCAGAACAGACAAAAACCATGCCTGAAGACTTGTGCCCAAGGCTAATAAACACAATGCCTGGGGACAGGGGATAGCAACTGTAGTCTCTTACACTGGGTTTAAGCTTCAGGGTGCAACTTCGCAGCTATCATTCATTCAACAGGCACTTCCGGAGCACACGCTACGTGGTGCTGAGCGCTAGACATAGATGAACAACACAGGCAGTCCCTGTTCCGTCAGGGTTCATAACCTGATAGGTTCGGTGTTGCAAGGATAGAGGTAATCAGCCTAGCTGGGGGAATAAGGAAGAGAAAGCAATGCATTCTGCCCGGGTGTGTAGAAGGGAAAGCACCAAAAGGGGACATCCGAGCTGGGCCTCGAAGGATGCTTGTAGCTGACCCCGAAGGGCCAATTCTAAACTGTCACTGCCTTGTCCACGGCGAACAGAGTCTCATATCGACCTCAGTTAACTCCTATAAAAACTCTGAGACAGACGCTGTCATCAGTAATCCCATTTCACAGAAGGAGAAACTGACACACAAAGCAAAAGGCGAGCCATACTGGAGCCATACTGCGTGACAGGGAATATGCCAGGTCCAGAATCAAGGTGGACAGACACAGCGCAGCTTCGAACTCTGCCCGGATTCTGAAACCTGTACAGCACCGGAATGCGGCAGGGGTCTGGACCCGGAAGTAGGGATGAAGTCTGATAAGAGAGCGACCCCTGCAACCATTTGCCCTGTTCTCTCAGCCACGCCCTCTGTCCCACGCTTCTCAGTCACTCACCTGCCGCTAGGCGAGAGGAAGTCGGTGTCGTCCTCGTCTCCCGCACCGAACATCGCGGTGCCTTTCACCCAGCCGCAGGCGGGGGGAAGTCGGAGGGTTTTCGGGGCCTTTCACCGCCGACGTCGTGAAATGCCGCGGCGGCGTGCTGCTTTACGGCAGGACGAACTCGCGCACGGTTGTTCGGGCGGGAGGAGCCTCGGATCTGGAGAAGGCGGGGGAAAGGCAAATGGGAGGGCCTTGCAGGCACGCGCGCCCGTGACGTAAAGCTCCTCCAGCCTGCAGAGGCGGTGAAATCCGCGGGAGCTCCAAAATCCTGTGCAGGGATTGGCCAGCGAGGCCGGGGGCGGGCCAGGGGCAGGAATCCGCAGCCTTGGAGGCTGTCGTGGACACGTCGAGCCGGGCATAAGTGCAGGGGCCTTCCGAAGAGTCGTGCCAGTCGAGACGGGTTAAGGGTCCAAGAGGGAGGCGCCGGTTGCAAGACTGGATCTGGAAAGTAAGTACCCTTTCGCCCTCTCCCATCCTTGGCACGGGCACATCCCTTTCTCCTCCAGGACGGGGACCCTCCACGCGACTCTTCTCCGCTCTGTGAAAGGAGTAAGGGCCTGGGACTGGCAGACTGGAGGACTGAGCTTTTGGTCAGGCCCCTACAGTGACACAGGTAGGGTGACCTTGGGGCAAGGCGTTCCGGTGCCTCACTTTCCCCATCTATGACAGGCTTGACGTCCCTATCGCTTGTATTCTGTGGCCGACCTCACTGTTTCTTCAACGGGCTATTTGTCTAGTACTTCCATGGGTGATCAAGAAGCTTTTAGACCTCAGGTCATCGAATTCAAGCCTAGTCCCCTCATAATTCCAGAATTTGCAATTAGGAAACTAAGTAGTAAGCACGTCGATGACTAGTCCTAGGTCACACAGAGTTAAAGGCAGACTGGGGCTGGATCCCGATCCCTCATCTCTTGGTTCGGGAGTTAATGAGCTGATGGGTGAACAAGAACCTTATCAGCTTTCAAGCACGCGCACCCTTTCGGAGTGCTTATTGCTGGACTGTGGCACACTTTAGAGAATTCCCCTCTCGATGCAAGTGAGGTGCAGAAGAGCTGGGATATTCTGGGGGTGAGTGTTGGAAAGGAGAAAACTTTAGAAGTGCAAAAACCCCAGACTCAGTCTTGGTCTGGGTTTTGCTTAGTCTTCTTGCTACAGACGTAAGTCAACATCAGTTGTTGGGGACTTCTCTTTCTCCAGTTTCCACATTCTCTGTATCTTATCTAAGTGTCTTTGACTAACCTGGGATAGTTATTGAAACAATCTCTGGGTAGGCCTGATTTAGGCAAGGTGTAGATAAGCAGATAATGTAGCATCCGTTTCTTAAATTTTTTAAAGTTTATTTATTCTGAGAAAGAGCACAGGAGGGACAAAGAGAATCGCAAACAGGCTCCGCGCTGGCACTGTCAGCGCGGAATCTAATGCAGGGTTCAAACTCAAGAACTGTGAGATATGACCTGGGTGGAAACAAGTAAGACGCTTAACTGACTGAACCACCCAGAGGCCCCTGTAGCATCTGTTTCCATAGATCTCACTGAGTTCTTTAATTCTTTAATGCAGGGCGTCTCCTGATCAGTTTAGTATAACTTGTAGGTGTCCAGTTACCTGAAAGTTTTAGCCTATTAGTGTGATACTGAAGTGAAGTGGTGGATAGTGATTCACCTCCTACTTCCCACCCCTTGGTACTTTCCTCGTTCTGCTTGTTATTACTGTTTGTGTACTTTTACTAAGAAGTTGTAAGCTCCTCAAGGACAGGGACAGTTTTATTCATCTTGATGTCACCCGTATTGCAGTGTACTATGCTTTCTTGACAACAATGGTTTCTTGTTCTTTGTTAGACTGAGTAATGGAATCCATCCTTATTCCCATTCCGTAAATTACGCTCTTAGGATTTTTTTTACGTGGGACCCAGAGAGCCCAGCAATGGCTCTTGGCTTCCAGAAAGATAAAAATGTTCTACTAGCTAGGAACCGTCAGGGTTGCTTAGTCTCTTTTTTTTTTTTTTTGGTTAATTGCAAATTATTTCACTATTGCTTAAAGCCCTAGGGAAGGGGAAAGGGGGATAGAATAGCTAGAAATGTTATATGTAACTCATTTTTGTTAGTATTCCTTTGTTAAACTGAGGGATGGGGCTGTTGTCGGCTTCCTGTGTTTTACAGAGGGTAAAAGCAGTAAAGGCTGACAGTGTGAAGACAGTGTGAAAATAGTGATTACACTGAAACCTAAGCACTAGAACTGGAACCCTTTGCATCACCTCTGTTTAGAATATGAACTTGGCTCTCAGGAAAAGAAAGTGAATTGTATAAATAATTTACATATCTCTTTCTAATCCCTAGTACTTATGATCATTATCATTCTAGCACTGAAACATCAGAATAGTGCTTTTTTAAAAAATGTTTATTTATTTGAGAAAGAGAGAGAGAGGTGGGGTGGGGGGCAAAAAGATAGAGAATCCAGAAATCAAGAGCCAGAAGCTCAAGCCAACTGGGCCATCTAGGCGCCCCTGAATAGTGCTTTTAAAAAATGCTAAAAGATACGAATTGGGGCACCTGGGTGGCCCAGTCAGTTGAGCAGCTGACTTTATAGCTCAGGTCATGATTTCGTGGTTTGTGAGTTCGCGTCCCGCATCAAGCTCACTGCTATCTGAGGAGCCAACTTTGAGTCCTCTGTCCCCCTCTCTCTCTGCTCCTCCCCAACTCACACTCCTGCGGCTCTCTCTCTCTTAAAAATAAACAAACATTTTTTAAAAGTGCTGAAGGATCATTTGAGTGCTTATCTTGAATTCTTGAGTTGGGAATTTTTTCATTAAGGGTATTTAAGTAGCGTTTTTAGATAGCCAGGAACATAAAATCTGGATCAGTGTTTTTGGTGATTGAGACACCACAAACATGCAAGCATAGCACACCATTGTGGGAACACAGCTGCTAGTTCTGATCTGCAGTATGAGAAAGGGGAAGATAGTGGTGAGGCTTCCTCAGTCATTCAGGATTTGAACTGCAAGATTGGGCAACTAAAAAGCCACTGTCTTCCTGAATTGGATTATTGGACCAGGAATCAAGAAACCTGAATTCCCATCCCAGCCCTTCTAACTCACTCTGAACTTGGGCTAGACTCCCTAAACACTTTGGGAGTGCATTAGGCCCAGACATCTTTTAAGTACTGTTGAGGATACAGAGGTTAAGAAAAGTACAACCCTCATCTCAAGTTTGAATTAAGCATTTTTGTTTAAGTACAGTTTTTAGATATGATTATAAAATGTATTGACACCCTCCCCCCGAAGATTAATCAGGAAGTGGCAATTTTAACAGTTCCTTTCAAGTTAGAGATGATAATTTTTATAAATAAGCACATCCGTACTAATCTGTAATAGTGAACACGTGGTAAGTATTAAACTATAAAAACTATTAATGTTTAAAGTTATAACCAGGTTAGATCATAGGTGTGGTGATAGTGATGTGAACTGAATGTAGGTTTGGGGGAGTTGGTATAGTGTTCTCTCTGTTCAGAGACTGAAAGCAGAAGAATAGAACACAATTCAAGAAATATCTGAAAACCTTCTATATGTAAGGCCCTGGGCTGGGTATTGGCTTAGAATAGGAAAATGAGTAAGTCGTTGTCCTCAAAGTGCTTATGGTTGAATAGCAGGGATAATTGAAGTATACAAATAATTATAGTAGAAGACATAGCAAAGTAAGTCCCATAAGTAGAAATTAATTATCGTAGGATTTCAAAGGAATAAGAGATCATATCTAGTTTGATGGAGCATGTGGGGCTAGATAATGGACTTTGAAGATGACTGGAATTCTGAGTGGAATGAGGAAGTAAAGGTTTTCAGGTTGAGGGGGTGGCTTTTTGGCAAAAGCAAAAGGGCAGGAAAGAAGGCACGAATTTCATTTTCTTTTTTTGTTGTTGTTTTTTGTTTTTTAATTTTTCATGTTTATTTAGAGAGAGAGACTGAGCATAAGCAGGGGAGGGACCCAGAGAGAGTCCCAAGCTCTGACAGCACAGGCTCTATCTTGCGAACCTAGAAGGCACAAATTTCTTAGGAGACAAGAATTGCCCTTTTATCAGATGTAATTAGGGCCTATAGTTGCCCAACGACAACAAAAATAAGCTAAAACAAAGAATCATTCAGGTATTAGTTACACACAAATCTTAAGCATTTAATTTTAACCTAAAGCATAAACACCTTTTTGCCATTGTTTAAAATACGTTTTTTCTGGGCTGACTGTGTGGTGCCTGCTTGGGATTCTCTTTCTCCCTCTCTCTGCCCCCGCTATGCACTCACGCTTGTACATATGTGCTCTTTCTCTCAAAATTAATAAACTTAAAAAAAAGAATAAGCCTTATCTTGGGACAACTGGGTGGTTCAGTCCATAGAGCATCCAACTCTTCATCACAGGATCATGAGTTCAAGCCCCACATTGTGCATGGATCCTACCTAAAAAAGCAATAACAGTGATAGAAACATTTAATAGCTTTCATAAAATAAGCCTTTTCTTAGGGCGTGGGTCCCAGGGATCTGCAAACTAGAGCATGGGGGTTAAATCTTGTCCTAGCCCTCTGCCTGTTTCTGTAAATAGTTCCATTGGAACACAGCCATGCTTACTTGTTGCCATATTATCTATGCCTATTTTGACTTACAAGGTAGAGTTGTATCTCTGTGCAAAGTTGTATCTGCCCTATGCAAAGCTTTCAGCGTGGTTTTCATAGAAACAACTATCAGAGTTTATGTGGTGTAGTAGCTGAATTCTAGATGTCTGGAACCAAATTGTTTTGCCATTTATTATACAGGCCTTGAGCAAGTTGCTTGGTTTTCTCCTTTAGAAAATAGGGACAATGATAGTATCTAGTTTCTAGGGTTCTTGTGAAGATTTTATGAGTCAATTCATGGAAAGCGTTTAGAATGGCGCCTGCCAGGTAGTAGGAACTCAATATTAGCTGCTGCCCCTGTTTTCCTCTTCTCACATTTAATTGCTTTACATAATACTTTATTAAATTATGTTCTTAATAGTAAACACAATTGGCATAGGTTGATTTCTTTTTTCCTTTTTTTTTTTAAAGTTTATTTATTTGTGGAGAGAGTGTGCGGAACTTGCCAGTGTGGGAGGGACGGAGAGAGAAAGGGAGACAGAATCTGAGGCAGGTTCCGGGATCCGAGCTGTGAAGGTGTCAGTGCAGAGCCCAAGACAGCCTGACGCGAGCTCGAACCCACAAACTCTGAGATTGTGACCTGAGCCAAAGTTGGATGCCTAACTGACTGAGCTATCCAGGCGCCCCAGTTGATTTATTAACAAACATACCCGACACTCTTGATAAGCACACAACTTCCCTGAGGGAGAGAAAGAAATGTTGATCCCATGATATTAGAAAATAGGCTAGTTAGTGTGTTATTTAAATTGGCTAGAGAATTCTGTGAGGATAGTTTGCTAAGAGTATAAGACAGCAGAACACATCGGGAAGTAGTGGATTAAAACCGAAAAGGAGGGCAGGGCCATATTTGTCTAATACTTTGAAGGCCAAAGGGATAAGTTTTTATTTAGCCATGTGGGAAGTGAGATTGTTTATCCTGAATGACATCAGTTATATGAAAAAATTCAAGTGGTTTAAGAGTTC